CCCCAAAACCCCAAAACCCCAAAACCCCAAAACCCCTTTTCACCAAAATTTTCTTGAATCTTATGAAGGATATTATTCTAATTCTATTAAAACTGCATCAACAGGAACAGCGTCTCCTTCCTTGATGTTAATGGCAGAAATGACTCCAGATCTTTCGGATTTGATCAAGTTCTGCATCTTCATAGCTTCCATTGTTAGTAATTCCTGGCCAATTTCAACTGTGTCTCCTACCTTAACAGAGACAGCGATGATGGCGCCTGGCATTGGAGCCATGACGACCTTGCCGTAGTCAATAACCTTTGGTGGAGCCATGTGTTTCTTGAGGCTGAATTGGTTTTCTTCATAAACTCTAGTAGCCAATCTAGTTCCTTTGTAGACCCAATTGTAGTCAAGTTCGTTAGATACTCCGGTGAACTGAAGTGTATGATCCCTTCTGCCGTGTTCCTTCTCCTTAGTCCTGAAGTTCACCAACACATTGTGTTTGTAAGAGAAGTCCTTCATGGAAATGGTTGTGGTCTCATCTTCTCCAACTACACCAACTGTATATTCCTGAGTCAATGGATTCACATCAACTTGATAGTCAGTATCATCAATTGTTACAAAAATCTTCTCGAAAGACTTAGGTGTGAAACCTAAGGAAGCATTCTCGCTCTCATGGATATTCTTGAGCTGAGATGCAGTAATAGCAATAATGTGGTGATCATCAGCAGTGAGAGTTTCACCGTGGAATCCCTCTGGATAGTAAGTTGGGATGAAGGAAGTATCATACACACCCTTTGCGAAAGCTTCATTATTACAGATGCTGAGTCCAAATCCACAATTGTCAACAACTCCTTCAATAACATACTCGTTCAATGCCTCCTTCATCAATTCTAAGGCTTCATCTCTAGTCTGTCCCCAAGTGATGGTCTTTGAGATCATTGGGTCATAGTACATTGAAATCTCAGATCCTTCCTGTACTCCAGTATCAATTCTAATATTTTCATGTTTGGTTGGTTCCTGATATTTCTTCAAGAATCCAATAGAAGGTAAGAAATTCCTTGAAGGATCTTCAGCGTAAACTCTCATTTCAATTGAATGTCCATTAATCTTAATATCATCTTGAGTGAAATCCAATGGATGTCCAGCGGCGATCTTGATCATCTCCTCTACAAGATCAACACCAGTGATTTCTTCAGTAATGGGGTGTTCAACTTGCAGTCTGGTATTCATTTCCAGGAAGTAGAAACCAAGATTCTTGTCAACTAAGAATTCAACAGTTCCAGTTGAATAATAACCACATGCTCTAGCAAGATCTACTGCTTGAGTGCCCATTTTATGTCTGGTCTCTGGGTCCAAGAGCATACTTGGAGCCTCCTCGATGACCTTCTGATTTCTTCTCTGGACGGAGCACTCTCTTTCAGGTAGGTACACATAATTTCCGTGCTGATCTCCTAGGAGTTGGAATTCAATGTGTCTTGGCTCTTCAATATATTTCTCAATGATAATGGTGTCATCTCCAAAGGCGGCAAGAGCTTCCTGCTTGGAGAGTCTGAATCCTTCGACTGCTTCTTTGTCGTTATAGGCAGTTCTCATACCTTTACCACCACCTCCAGCAGAGGCTTTGATCATGACTGGATATCCAATCTCATTGGAAATCTTGATGACTTCTTTATCATTCTTGATGGCTCCAAGGTATCCTGGGACCATGCTCACCTTAGCTTTCTCAGCTAGAAGCTTAGACTGAAGCTTATCTCCCATAGCAGTGATTGCAGGTCCTGGGGGACCAATGAAAGAAACATCATTATCAGCAAGCATCTTCTGGAAGAGTTTGTTTTCAGACAAGAATCCATATCCTGGATGGACAGCCTGAGCTCCAGTCTTTGTAACAACTTCCATAATCTTATTCATATCCAGATAAGACTTATTGGTTGGAGGAGGACCAATTCTGTAAGACTCATCAGCCTCACGAACAAACATTGAGTGGCGATCTGCATCAGAATAAACACACACAGTCTGGATTCCCATCTTGCGGCAAGTCTTGATTACTCTCCTAGAGATTTCACCTCTATTAGCAATCAGGATCTTATCGAATGTCTTAGGGTAAGCCTTTGCTGAAGAAGAGAAAGACCTTCTGGCATATCTAAAGAAACTATTCATCTTAATTATAAAATCTGAATTTTCTATAAATCAAACCTTATAAGGGGTTTTGGGGTTTTGGGGTTTTGGGGTTTTGGGGTTTTGGGGTTTTGGGG